TCCAACTTCCTGTCACCTCTGGAACCTCTCCTGTACTCACATGCTCGTGTGCTGCACTGAGTCTGTTGTTTCAGAGCAGGGTGGGAGCCCACGCACGTGAACAAACTGCTGTCAGGACTCAGGCTSTCAGGGGTCAACAAGACGTCAGAACCAGTTTGTAGATTAGTTTGCTGTCCTGCTTGGATCAGGTCTCCGGTCCAGCGGAGGGACGGGGAGGGGAACCCACCAGGCCAGGAGCAGAGCAGTCTGAGAGAGGTGTGATTCAGAGTCGGCTCCACGGAGCAGGAGGGGGAACCATCAGGGGGGTCTGTAGGGAGAATATGTAGACCAGTGAACTGAAGATTAGGGGTTTGAATTACAACATACAGAACAACAAGTAGATTAAAGTTTCAGGGAATGAAAATAYTTCAGCCTCTTATTATTTTGCTGATAATAAAGTAGATCAGTTTAATAAGATGTTCACACTCACAGTAGACGGTCAGGCTGATGCTTTTTTTGGAGCGGGTGTTCAGGAGAGAGTTTTGTGCCAAACAGGCGTAGTCTCCAGTGTTCGTCCGGAGAACCTTGGCGATGGTGTACTGCGGTCCGACATACACCTGGGAGTTGTTGTAGAACCAGACGTACTGACTGACCGGATTGGACTCAGCTTGGCACGACAAAGAAACCATCTCTGACTCCAGAACTGAGTAKCCGACACGAAGAGGAGTCACGTCTACCTGGGGAACATCTGGACCGACTGAGYACACAAACGACAACAATACGTGGTAACATACGTGTTTCTGGCTGCGTGTCCAAGTCATGTTTTAATACTTACAGAGAATATTCAGGAAGAACCACTCAGAGCTCTCAGTGTTGATGAAGTTGCTGCTCACGCAGCGGTACAGGCCGCTCAGGCTCCGGTTCATGTTGCTCAGGGTCAGGATGCTGCTGTTGCCCTGTGCAAACGTAGCGATGCTGCCGCTGCTGGGTTTGTATTGCCARGCGTACTGAACTGGTTTGGTCCCGTTTTCTACGTCACATCGCATCCACATCGTGGATCTTTCCACTGGAGATGCTTCACTCATCAGGAGGGATGGTTTACTGACGAGGACTGAATTAAAAATATAAATA